GGGCCCCCTCTGTCCCCGCCACCCCCCCAGCCACTGCTCCCCAAGCCTGCGGCGCTGCCGAGCGTTGGGGTGACCCAAGGGCAGGACCTGGCACTTGGCCTGGTTGAACCTCACACAACTGGCCTGGGCCCATCGATCCAGTGTGTCCAAGTCCCTCTGCAGAGTGTCTCTGCCTCCCAGCAGGTATTAGAGGTGACAGGTTTCACGTGAACCTTTGTCCCACATCTGGCATTTTCTGCAGATATGCAACAATCTTCTTCTACATTTTGCATGTTTCCTCTCAGGCTCAGAAAAGCTCTTCCCATCCATGGCCCTATGGCAGCATTTTTCCCCCAAGGACTGTATAAAATCAGAAATCCCCCAGGGATACACTGTTTGCTGGAGCTTGTTGTATGAGCGGCAGATACACTGCAGACACGCCACCTCTGAAGAAACATAGAATCATAGAACAATTCAGGTTGGAAAAGACTCTTGGGATCATCGAGTCCAACCATTAACCCTACACTACAAGCTCACCCCTAAACCGTATCACCCAACACCACATCTAAACGACACTTGAACACACCCAGGGATGGCGACTCAACCCCCTCCCTGGGCAGTCTGTGCCAGTGTCTGACCACTCTTTCTGTGAAGAATTTCTTCCTAATGTCCAGCCTAAACTCGCCCTGTTGCAACTTGCAACCATTCCCCCTGGTTGTGTCCCTAATTACCTGTGAGAAGAGACCAGCACCAACCTCTCTACAATGTCCTTTCAAGTAACTGTAGAGCATGATGAGATCCCCCCTCAGCCTCCTCTTCATCAAACTGAACAGACCCAGCTCCCTCAATCGCTCCTCACAAGGTCTGTTCTCCAGGCCCTTCACCAGCTTTGTTGCCCTCTTCTGCATTCACAGAAGGAGCTGCCTCAAATTTTTATTCTTTTTTCTACTTGACCAAGAAGGGAAGGAGGTCTGAGACAGATTACACCAAATATGACTTAGTAAGACACCAATCTGCTCTGCTTGCAATTGCGCCCTGCGTTGCAGGACGCTTAATTTTCACAGGATCCCTGTGAAGGGATATTTCTATTTAAAAGAGGGAAGGAGAAATGAGAAGCACAGGAAGGATAAGTAACATGTTTTATAGCACACAGGAAGTTTCTGTTAGCGATGTAATCTGACTCCTGAACCCCCTCACGTCTATACACACACTCGCTCTTCTCCACAGCATTATCTTTACATCAGCTCACTAATGCCACGTCCTGGTCTGCTTTCGTGTAAGCACATTAATTTCAACAAGCTTTTCTTAGAGAAAAGTGCTTGCTTCAGGTATCTGCAATTTTCCTCATAAATATTACAGCCCACGACACACTGCTGACTTGCTCGATTCTCAAAGCAAAGCCTGGAGATAATGAGATGAGTGCCCAACAGAAAAATATTAGCTAACCTTCCAGAAATTCACAGCCATAAATTTGATTTTAAAAACACCTTGTCACAGTGTAGCAGGGTGAACAACATTTCTGTTTATAGGAGATTAAGTGAATTTACTATCTTTGAGTTTACTGGGATAGAAAGAAACAGAAATTCCAGGAAGAGCTAAAAAGAGGCACAGAACTGCACTCCTGCATCTTAGTGCTTGGTTTATATTTCCGAATCCACTTACTAAAACCTTCTCCACTGTCTTTTTATTCCTGCAGCAGAACGAACCTTAACACTGAACAGCAACAGGGAAGCGGAGGACAAAGTCACTTCACAGCTCATATCAGCTGTATCCACGTGCCAAGTGTATCTTCTCTAAAAAGTCAGCAGCGACAAAATAAGATGCTCCAAATAGGAAAAGTTTAATGCTTTGCAATTTTTAAGAGTTCACAGAGTTTACACTGCAGTTCAAATGACGTTACTAGAGAAAAGATAAATGTTTATTCTGCATTTAATTCACGTGACAGTCCAAAACACAGAAATACATATTAAAACGTACTTTTGTGATGGCACAAGGAGAAAGTCAATAAAAGAATAGTCCTAATAAACTCACCAGCTATCAAGTTTTGGCCCCAGTTGGTGAATATGAACCAAAGAGAAAGCATGTTTATCTGCAACATCAGCTAAAGTAAACTCGGTAAGTCACAGTCATTCACTTACAAGTACCATTTGACTTTTGTTTTCCATTTTGCCTAGTTTAGCATAATTAATAATTGTGAATACCTTAGCTGTACAGCTATTCCGTTAGCAGCTTAGGGGTACAGTGCGTTACTGCAGGACTGCAACAACCTCCAAATGGAATTCTGAAAAATAACTGTGCCTTTTGATAGCTCAGAGGAGTGGACTAAGTATCCTGGGTCAAACCTTTGCCTCCTGCAGCTACAGTCATGGACAGAAGCAAAAGGTGCTGTGCTGTTGTGGTGAAAATAACCTACAGTGAAATACTTTCATCAGTAGGCTTCAGAATTGCTTCTCCTGTGCACGCTGCCAAAGTTTTGCTCAGGCAACAGCAGAAACACGCGTGCTGTCGGACTGCTGCAGACCAACAGCCAACACCGATCGCCTGTGCCGATAGCCTGGTGCTGAGAAGAGACAGATGAATTTTAGGGTGGGCAGATGCCTGTGCTGCAGGGAAAACAGTCACAAACTGATTTACACTCCAGAAAGCCACGTCAGCAGCTTGGCACAAATGGAAGACAGTGAAATGCCTGCGTGGGATTTTTTAACAGCGCTGGCTGGGCAGAACCTCAGCGAGAGCAGGCTGGGCTCAGGCAGAAAAACGTTAAGAGAAGGCCACGTGGAGCAAGACCCTGGTAGGAGAGGACCTTCCCCAGTCCCAGCTTCTCTGTGCTTCTGTCCCAGTCACTGGCTGGCAGCCCTGACTAGAGGCACAGGGCCTCTCTCCTCACCCAGTTTGCCGGGATTATGTTCGGGCAGATTCCCAACAGCTGGCCTGGCCACAAGCCTCCCATTTAGGGCAGGCAGC